TGCCCTTGTTACGAGTAGCGATGCCCTTGTTACTAGTAGGTTCTAGCTACTAGTAGTATGCCCGTGTTACGAGTAGCTATGGCCTTGTTACTAGTAGCTTCTAGCTACTAGTAGTAATGCCCTTGTTACGAGTAGCTTCTACTCACTTGTAGTAATGCCCTTGTTACTAGTAGCGATGCCCTTGTTACTAGTAGCTTAATAGTAGTAATGCCCTTGACCCTTGTTACTAGTAGCGATGCCCTTGTTACTAAGTGCTATCTAATTAGTGAATAAACTTTGCCCAGCCATTGGTTGAAACATCAAAACCACGACAAGCATGCAACAGGCATGTCGGAGTGGCCAACTCTGATACCGCCAAATGGGAATGTTTGTTGGTAGAGGCCCCAGGTACTGTAAGTGATCTGATCCACCTTCAAGAGTTTCACAAGAAAACGTGCAAAAAAACAAAGTTCAATAAGTTCAGCAGGAACATATTGAAATCTGTAAAAATAACATTGCTTCCCTGCGACTGCAAGGTTTCCCAGTCACCCAGCTACGCTCAAAAGTCAGGCCACGCTCCAAGGATTTCGAGGTCCCCGTACACCAACGCACCAGCTTTCACGGACACACGTTGAACATGGCTTTTGACCTCATGCAAGTTCAGCTGATTGACTGCATGCGAGGCTGGAGGGCCCAAACGAGGTTTCTATGTTTCCGTTTGCCTCTCGCCAAATCTCTGGTCTGCTTTGCTAATTTAATAGGCTCATCATCTCAATCATCTCATCCGAACACTTTTTGCAGCCGAACATCCAAACCCTCGATGCCAGACCCTTCCGGCCCTTGAAACCTCATCATAGCTGCGCGCAATCGATTCACCTGGCATGTGGACCGCATTCAGTTGCAAACGAATGCCACAGAGTCTTGTGGCCGCTTCTGGGTTCAGAAGACACATGAAAACACTGAAATGTGCAGTCAAGGCACCCAATCATCCCAACCAGAAAAGATCTGCCGCCAGAAAACTTGGGCCTTTGCATGCAAAGACTTGTGCAAGAACTCTGCAACTGCCCCTCCCAGACTCTCGACTCGACAAGGCCAATCCACTGGCCAATGATGATTGCGCAACTTGGGGGAGTTTTGACATCCATGAAAGCAATTGAGCTTTGGATAGTGCAAATCAGAAGATCGTCCGCACAATTGCACTTCCTGGGAAGGAGGTATCCTGTAGTCACTGTAGTCCTATTGAGCATTGGCCTTTTGAAAGCAGACCAGCCAATCATCGGCCGTGCTAAACATGCGAGGGCGACTCTGCTGGCTTCGGCATCTGCCGACACTTTCGTTTCATCGAGTCAAACCTGTGAACTCATCGACTCATCGTGCCTCCCTCGGGTTGCTCCGGCTTGCTCTTGTTTATGTTCTGTGTGTCTCTGTTTTGCCTCTTGCCTGTCAGGTTCATCGTTCAAACAGTTTCTTCAAAGCCTGACGTTTGGTCATGACTTCAACCGTGCCATTGATTGTGGCTCAAGACGCGTGAAAAAAGGGCGCGTTGCATTTTGCTGTGCATTTTGCATTCCCATGTCATTTGCTTTGTACTGAGCTGCACAAATCGAGAAGTGACAAATCGAGAAGTGTAAGCGAAGACATTTTGAGAGCAAGAACGGCCGATTTGATTTTGATAGAAGTTTGAGTGAATAGAAAAGGAGAAGGAAAAGGAGAAAGAAACAGAGAATTGAAGCAGAAGCGGACACGCACAAATCAAGAAATGCCGATTGATCAACCAAGTGATTTTCCGAGAGAAGCATTGCGATTGCACCATGCCAATCTTCCTGCTCCAACTCATTTCTCTCCTGTTCCTGATACTCCCGATTATCAGGTTATGAGCCCAAACCCTGGCTCTGCCACTTCGGGCTTACCTCCAGTCCCACCTTTTCCAATGCACTTGCGAAGGGTGGAGATGTCAGAAGTTACAGTGGCTCCTGAGTTGCTACAGCAGCTAGCACACCTTGCGAATGCAGCTTCTGAACCAATGATGGTGGACGAAGGGGTAGAGATGTCAGCCGCTATCCGTGAGATAGCTTCCCAAGTCAAAGGTCGAACTGAGATTCTTGCTGGTGCTGTACAAGGTGTGGCCACAAGCACCCAAGGCCTCAGCGACCGTGTGAAGATGTTGGAGCAGCAGCTCACAGAAAGCATGCAAAGAGAACATGCGCTAGCTGAAAGACTCCAGGTATACTTCAAGTC